CTGAGTAGGGCAGGGGCTGCAGCATGGGGTGGGGTGGGGGGTGGTCTTTGCCATGTGCTTTATGGGAAATGGGAAACAGAACAAATAACAATGAGGTTGTTTTTGGTTAGTTAGTTTCCTGAGCTGGCCACCAGATTGCACTGTTGAGGAGCAGTGTGGTTGCTTTTTGGAGCAGCCTTGAGACGAAGAGCTGAAAAGGAAGGCATTGTGCAGGCGTTGTTCATGGGACCAACCAGACAAAATGAGCTCAAGAGAACATCATTTGTTGGGCGATGAATATCTAAATTTTAAACAGTGGTCCAAACAGAGAATTCTAGAGCTTTATAGAGGCTTAGCAAAGTTTGGAAAGTTGAAGCCCTAAGCTTCGTGTTAAAAACTATTTTACTGAAAGTATTTTTTCTCATATCCTATTGTTAAAGATACAATAACATACACTTGTATTTAATTTTAACGTAGAGACTTTTGAAATCTTCAATGAACTTTTTTTAGGAAGTGATATTATAGCTTCCTGTCAAAATAAGTGACTCATATAGCATTTCTTAATTTTTTTCTCTAGCACCTAACCTAATATTATACCTAGTAATAATAACTTTTAGTTTTAACTAGGACAAAACTTCAGTTTCTATATAGACCTATAATTAGGTAATTTATTCTTTATTGATGACAAAATAGTCAAACTGATTTAGTAACAACTCTTGTGCAGTTGAGTCAGAAAAGTTTCAGTTCTTTGAACAGCTCTCTAGTATTTAAATTTACTATACTCTTAACCATTTAATGTTAATTTCTACAGAAGCAACCCTTTCAGAGCAATAGCAGGAAGGGAGGAAAAGTCCTGGATTGGAGTGAAGTTTCGATAACACTTTGTTCAGTTAGTTCAAACTTACTCCATATTTTGATGCATCAAAGTATGGATATTAACAGATATTATGCAAAAGATAGGTTCCATAGAGGTAATTTTTGAAATGGTGGGTTAAGAGACATCTGAACAGATTTCTTTCTTATAGAACTTCTTAGTGCCTTCAGTTGATACACACCAATAGAGGCTGTGAAACTCCGGGAAGGGATGGACAGTTTACAACTTTTCCCAAACACTGCTGGTCTGGCAGAGCGGCCCTGGGGCCTGCACTTTGCAGAACACACTTCGGGAAACCTTGAAAGGGAAGATTAGTGCTTTTGGTATTGTTGATGATAACTGTTGATATTGTCAAAGCTATATTCTTTTAGATCTCTTGAAGTCTGTTAAAGTCACTGTATGGTATAAATTTACATAGCCAAGCTTTATGTTTGGTTTTTTACTTTATCCTTAAAAAGATATTGCTTTTGGAGATAAACAGTTATATAAAGTAGGCTGTTAATTTAGGAGACAAGAATTTAGAAGACAGATAATTCAGCCAGAAGTAGGATTCATGGTCTACAACAGAGCTTTGGTAGGAATCCATGCTTCATAAAGCAATAAAGAAAAGCCATTTCGTATTTTCCTCGCAGAAGGGCTGTGGGCCATCATTCCACTGTGAGCCGTGTGGTCACTGAACCCTCTCAGCGATCTCAGACGGGGCTCACAGGGTGGCTGGGCCTGCCTGCAGACGGTTTTGTTTAGCCTGTACGGTGATTTGAACATTTGAGTTAACTGCCAATATTTTAAAATTTTGAAGTTTTACATAAAAATCTAGCTACTCTTGAAAATGGAAAAGTCCGACAGCATATCTGCAAATTATAGCTACTTGCTGGAGCTGAAAAGTGTCCGCTTCCTGTAGAAGAAGTTTTTTATCCAGTGTGTCACTGTCTGCCTGCTGTTGTCCCGGTGGCTTTGCACGTTTGTGCTGCCTGTCTGGCCCAGCAGATGCGTGGCTTTGTGTAACCCCTGCTGTCAGGTCCTGGCGCGGCTGAAGAGCTGATGGGTGGTGCCTCTGAGAGTCAGCTTTATGAGCAAGTGGGGTCAGGTTTCTCCAGAAAGGACAATCGGTGTTGAATCTTCACCATTTCTAGTGACACCTCTACATTTGTCCTCTGAATGTTGAGGATTTTCCTGCCCAGAGTATCTAGCCTGTGATAGCCTATTTGGCAACATATTGGAAGAATTGTTTCACACACACACATACAGTGATCCCTGTATATGTGAAATTTGTATTGCTGGTATAAATTTATATTGAATTAGGACAGCTCAGTTGGTTAGAGGGTCATCCCAATATGCCAAGGTGGTGAGTTCTAGCCCCAGTCAGGGCACATACAAGAATCAACCAATGAATGTGTAAGTGGAACAACAAAATGATCTCTCTCTCTCTCTCAGATCAATCAAAAATTAATGTTGAATTAGGACAGAGTTCTAATTTCATTCAATCTCAAAACTAATTATTAAAGAACTAAAGATAATTCTTTTATTTATATTCTGCAAAATACTTGAGTCAGCTTATAAAGTATGGTATTTAAAAAGTGGTAAAATATGTGTGTGTGTGTGTGTAAAATATATTAAAGGACCAGAAAATATATTCAAAGAGTAAGTCAGAAAGATAGAACATGACTATTTGGGCCTGAGAATAAACCTTGGAAGATGGAGAACATGTCTGGTGTGAGAACTTGCATTTCAGAGAGATGCCAAAATGAAAATGTGAACGGAACATCTCAGTGCAAACAGGACTACATGACTTTTTGCTTAGCATGTAGAGTGTGCCGAAGTTGGCATATGTGGACGTTTCTCTGATTCTGCAATGGTGCAAGCCCTGAGGAGCTGTTTTCTGGTAGCAGCTGGGAATGTGTGTTTTATGAATGGGGCTAATCACTACTGTCTCCTGAGACCTCTTCATATATTTTTACCTAGTCCGTAATGCCAAGGAAAGGGTAATGGAATGGGTTGTGTGTGATGTAATGAGGTGAGGGTGGGACGCGGGGGGAGGCAGTAATGGAGGCTCTCAGCAGGAAGGTCTGAGATCTGCAGAGTTCTTTGAGCAGAAGTAACCCACGGCTATTATAGAAGACTGCATTTTCTGTAATTCTGATTAAATGAAACCAGAACAGTATGGATACTACACAGGAATTGTTTTCATTTGTGAAGCCTACTGATCCAGGATCAAACTCAACTGCCATAAAGTGATCGGAATTACTAGGTCTTGAAGCTGCCTTAACTATGAGAATAAGACTAAAATAAGAGACGGCTCTGTATAGAAAAAGATACATCCTTCTTTTTTCCATTGGTGGCATTAGAATTGTTATTACAGTGTCCAGAAATTTTTTTTTATTTTAGTTTGTTTTCTTTCTTTTGAGATTTGTTGTACTTGTTTCATTAATTTGTTGCTTCCTGTACGTGCTCTGACCGGAGATTGAACCAGAAACCTTAGCGTGTCAGGACGGCACTCTAAACAATTAAGCTACCTAACCAGAGCTAGAAGTTGTGTTTTTTATTAAAAATTAGTAACATATTCGTGAAGGTATTTTTGGCTTTGTTTTTATTTTTTTAATTTATTTTCCAATTACAGTTGACATACTGTATTATAATATTAATTTCAGGTGTACAACATAGTGATTAGACATTTACTTCATGAATTGATCCCCCTGAATGAAGTCACTTAAAAGTGATGTTTTATAATATTAGTGAATCTGCCTTTGTGGTAAATGTCAAGGGAATGCTATTTTAGTTAAAGAGACCAAATTCTGCAAAGAAATAACTGGATCTTTTTTCCCCATGAAACATAGGTGGAGCCAATGCCTTAATGTTTACAGAATTGCAAACAGGTCCCAGTTCTCAGGACCTAAGGGTAAATGGAGATTTTTATGGCTTCTGGCTAACTAGTGAAGGCAACAGTGTCATAAAAGGCAAAAAGTTAGGTGGGAGTGAATTTTGTAGCAATCATAAGGAATGTGTAGACAGTTTCTGAGCAATGCCAGTCTTAGAGTTGATTCAAAGTGTTTTGAACATGAAACTGGCAGATTTACTACCTTTCAGATGGGAGTACTCCTAGATATAAGCCAAACCACGTAAGAAATTTTCTTACTTGTTTTCTTGCATTAACTGTTGACAGTTGAGCAATAGGGGAAATGAAGAATCTTGTTGATACTAGGAAATGAAAATGCAGCCGCTTTGTTTTCTACCCTAAACCGTGAGGGGGATGGAGAGGCATGTTCCGCAGGACGGGCACCGGTAGCCCTGCCCCTGCCCACTTCCTGGAACACATGTGGCTGGTTTGTTCCCAGGTGGTGCTGAAACTCACCTTTCAGTATGGGAGGGCTTTTTGTGGTTTTGTTTTGTTTGAAGCTTTTGTTTGATAATTCAGTTATGGATTGAAAGGAATGTATTTTAAAGTTCAGATTCTGATGAAATACCTTATTTTTTTTGTATAATAAAACTATAAATTAACTGGCAGGAAGTCAGATTCCCATTTGACTGGGATATAACAAATATACTTTAATTTCTAAGCTTTATTTAACCAGACATGTTTAGAAAAATCAGGTAAATCAAAAGTAGATAATTCAGTGTACTTTACGCTTTGATATTGCTGATAATGCTAACTTGATGGGTATTAATCTATGTTAAATCATATTACTGAAAGATAAGTGTTTTAATTTTAGGGGGTGACAAGAATTTAAAAGCCAGACACATAGATGATTTTTAGAAAATATTTTAAATGTTCCTGTTCCCTTCCTTTAGATGAGCTCTTCAAAAGTTAGGTGCAGTGCTGTGGCAGGTTATAAATAGTCTGTCGTGTGCAAAAAGGGGTCTGATTCAAAACCTGGAATCTCTCTAAAAGATTGCTTTTTTTAAGCCACAGGTGGTTTCTGAAGGTTTCATGGTATAGGTCTCAAGTGTTGAACATAGCACCTGTAAGTAGATTTTCCAAGAGTTCTATTGAAAGGCACTAAATGCAGACTACATTAAGTAATAACTGGGTTTTTGTTCATGTTGTGTATGTTGTAAAATGCACAAATCAGTGGGTTTGTCTCTAGTCACCTTATTCTCATTTGGGGTTGATGGAAATGAAGTAAGGACCAAGTAAACAACTTTTTTTCAGGTGCAAATTCGACCATGGAACCTAAGTGACAGTGACTTTGTAATGGATGGTTCTCAGCCTTTGGACCCCAGAAAAACTATCTTTGTTGGGGGAGTCCCACGACCCCTTCGAGCTGGTGAGTGGAAATAGTAACACCACAACAACAAAACCAACAGCAAGTCTCCCGATGCATTTATTTAGTTCCTAATATTTCCTAGGTTTCTGGTCACTTACACACAATTTCCCAAAAGAAGGCTGTCATATCAGTTTCACCGAGCTGGCTCTTTCCAAAATTAAAAGTTTTCTCCCAGAATTCTTTATTTCTTGATGGTACAAGAGTGAATTTCATTAAAATGTTACTTTGAAAGAATGAGTTCTATTTAGTGCTTTCCTGTTCAACCACATTTTCAAAAACTAGTAACACTTGGCAGTGTACATTCCTGTGCCAGTTAGCATTGTTACACATGACAGAAAGAAGTCACCCCATCAGAAATCCGTCCCACACAGCCGTGTGTGCCCCAGCCATGCGCCAGCCCACTATGTCACTGGAAAGCAAACTGAACCCTTTCCAAGGGAAACAGGTTCTGGTTTTTTCTTAGGTGTTTGAAAAATGACTTATGCATGCAAGGATCTTTATGATGACTTTTAAAAAAGCTTTCCTGTTTCCTGTTTAAGTTCCTTTTCAGTAATGGAATAATCGTGCCTGCTGGGATTGGGCAGAATCATAACCGACTGAGGCATTGAGGTGATGCTGGGCTGATGATCAATATTTAAATCCAAAAACAAATCTGATCAGTTGTGGATCAGTGTTATTACCAGTGGAATATATAAAATTATTTGTAGGAACTCAGGTTTTAAAGTGCTTAAAATAATTGAGTTTATATTTTTAAAGATGAAAAGATAAGGTTATTATTGCCACTGTAGTTATGAAAGTGTAACATTATCTGTGTTATTTGTAAGCAGATAGACTTAATTCTACCTAAAAAATAAAAGAAAAAACAGAGATCATTAAAATCAGATTGTAAAAACAATTATAAAATGTAAAATGTTGCCCCGACTTGTGTGGCTCAATGAATTGAGCACCTGCCTATGAACCAAAAGGTCGTCAGTTTGACTCCCGGTCAGGGCACATGGCTGGGTTGCAGGCCAGGTCCCCAGCAGGGGGCGTGTGAGAGGCAACCACACATTGATGTTTCTCTCCCTCTCTTTCTTTTTCCCTTCCCCTCTCTCTGAAATTAAATAAATAAAATATTCTTTTTTAAATGTAAAATGTACCAACAGCTATTTGGCTCTGTGACTTTGATAAGTTCTTAGTGCTGAATATCCCTCAACATTTGTAACATATTTATTTAAATCTCAACTTCAGTCTACTCCTAAAAGATTACTTTAGGCCTATATAAAGGTATATTCATTATTCCATTTTGAAGGACTTTAAAGCATAGTAATTATGACTGTGAAGTTTCTAATTTTGTGGTACTTCAGAAAGTCAGATTTCCCTGGGCCTTATTCTCATTTTCATGGAAAACTGTGCTGAAAGAGGGAAAGCAAAGCAGCAGAGGCTCCCCCAGCGCCTTCCACGACCTCCTGTCAGAGGACGAAGTACAGGAAGGGCTGACGCAAACGTGAGCAGCATCACTAGATGCGGGTGAATGCAGCTCTCTGTTTCTAAACTGGCTGTGCTTTAAAAAAATGTAGCGTGAAATATTGTGGAATATTCCTCACTTTTTCTAACTAGCGTTATATTTAGGAGTGGAGTGGGACAAAAATCCCCTTTGCTGACTTTTAACGATACATGTATTCTACAAAAATGGACATTATTGTTAGTATTGTAGCTATTATTTTTTTGCAACCAGCTGCAAGCACCAATTAGTTTTAATATTCTGACCCCCTCCTTTTTTCCTAGATGGGAATCTGAAAAAAAAAAAGTCTGAGAGAAAAAGCCCCATAGTTACAAAAATAACAGTATTGGCTTTAGCCTCATGTACCTGTTTTTAAGTCACAAACATAATAGTTTATAAACTAAATTTCCTTTTTTAGTATTCACCCTTTATTTTCCCTGATTTAATGATCTGAAAGGATAAAGGCCTTTATATAATTTTTCCTTTATAAATCCTATGAAAATCCATTTTTCATACTTTTCTAAGATTACAGGACAGGAAACCCAAGATGCTAAATTATATAGCCTTTCTTTAACATTCTGTGTCTACAAGATGCTGCAAGTTCTAGGATTAGACAAGAATTATATTAAGTTTTCTCATCAGAAATGGGATTTTGTGTTTCCTATGTAGATTTATAAGTCTTTAAGTTATTGTTCTAAACCTAAGCTAAAAGTTTCATTTTTGCAGTTACATGGCTAGTAACTTACGGTGACTTTGTCTGATGGAAATGTCCTTTATGCCAACACCTCCCATAATTGTAGCTAGCTGCTAGATGGCTGAGTAGTCTGTATTAGCATCTTCGACTTTTACTGTCTTTCTAAGACTTCTGGATTGGATGCCATGCAATCTAAACAGAAAGTTAACATCTGCAGCTTTTATCCACATGCATAGACTTCAGTTAACTTTGGAACACACTGAGCTTTGTAGACTGGTGTGTGCCTTGGAATAGAGGGCTATTTTTAAAGGAATTCATTTTGACTTCGCTAGATCTTAAATTGAATACAGTGCAGTTCAGCTGAACAAAAACATTTATTGAACATGCACTGCATTGCTGGCACTGAGCAAGGGCACGTCATGCCACCATGAACGAGCTTCTCACTGTCCTGTTAAACCGGTCGTCGCCGGCAGAAAGCCACAGATTTCAGAACAGAAGAAAACAGAAAGTGTATTGATAGAATGCTAACTCAATTAATTAGATGCTAAATTATACTCTTTAATGTTTCTTTAAATTTGGTTTTTAAATACTTTAAGGCATTTTTTATCATTTCCAGAAGGTGTGTGGGTACAGAATTATAGAAAGTCCTAAAACTATCAGGCCCTATGTGCAGAGTGATCCCGGACTAGGTATGGCTGACAGTACTCCACAGGTGGGATTTCAGGTGTCCAGATTGATTTTCACCTGATCATGGGCCAAAAGTGGTCCTTTAACATGGAACAGTGACTATAATATTATCACTCACAAATGATTTGTTTGGGTCTTGTGAGACTGTTTATTTTAGATACATCCCCTTTTAAGACAAGACCATTATTACTAATAGTATAAATATAGCCCTTACTCTACCAAACAGAAATACACAAACACTTTTAAACAGACAAGCCAATCTGTTTTAAGCAGTGTTATCCTGAGTTTAGACTGTGCCTTCTGGTCCTTTGAGGAGCTCCCTTTTTAAAATTCAGAATGGAAAGAAAAATGATAGGCCTAGAAAAATGAACCCGAAAATGGGAAAATATCATGGAAAAATCTAGATGAGTTTACCCAAAGCTAGATTGCCTGATTGTTGGTTTCTCTGGGTCAAATAATACACATTCCTACGGTCTCCTCTCCCTCCCTTTATCACTTCTGCCAGTGACAGTGGCAAGCCAAGCACAGTTTGCCTGAAGTCTCCTGGTGTTTCTCAGGTCGTGGTCTCCTTCCACTTCCCACCTCTTCTCACCCCTAAGCAAGGAAAGGCTGTAGACAGACGCATCATGCCACCAGGTGGCTAAAATTTACATCATTTTGCAGAGAGTCGGTGCAGGGAAAGGGGTAGTCCGTCTGGTCCTCTACCTGGAAGTACACAGCATGTTTTCACTCTTCATTCAAGGGATGTACGCACAGTGTCTTCCTGAATCTCAGGGTAGAAATAGCCCTGCTGCATATCCCTGTGGCATTAGGGCCTCCCTAGAATGCATCTCTTTGCTTGAGGGGAAATAAGTGCCAGGCATGGGGATCAGGAGGAAGGCTGCCAGGAAAAAGTAGAGAATGAAGCATCTGGTCTCTGTACTCTCCTCCAGTTTATAAACATGAATATTCTCTGGCTTAGGCAGCTAATTTGAGTACTGCCTCTGTGATCCATCCAGCTTTGGGACCCCTCCACTTTCAGCTTTGATCAGGCTTGAAAACCCCCGTTGTCCTCTTGCCCTCTTTGGCTGAGGCACCAGAGCTGTTCTTCTCCTTCGTGACATCCTCCTGAGAGTTTACCAGGCTAGGTCCTGCAGGACAGGTCAGTCTTGAGAGACTGCTCATCGGAGTCCCTGGAGCCTGCCTTCCATTTGCCCACCATCTTTTGGTCTCCTGTCCTTCCCAACTGTTGCTCCGATGATTCTTTCCTGTCTTTTTCTCCCCTACTAATGTTCTGTGATGAACCCTAAAATTTCCTTCTCTGCATTTTTTCCCCCTCCATCTGTTGTGAGGATAGCTTTTCTGTGGGGGAAAAAAAAAACTTTGAGGTAAATATTCAGTGATGTATGGCATATATCTAGAGAACATACATCCTGAATTTTTCTAAGAGCATTTATTTCAGACCTGCTATGCAGGCATTCTGGTAGTTCACATGTATTAGGAATTACTGTAACTGTATTCTTTTTTTTATTCTATAAAGTTGAAGCAGGCAGAAATCATCTTATATCAAGTTTCTCAGTAGTAGAAGCTTTTTCTTTTACCAAGTCCCAAGTTCAGTACGAGCTGTCCCAGATAAGCCCCAGATTTGGCACACTGGCTTGGTTCACTGCGTTGCCCTCAGGGTTAAGGATTTTCTAATGTCAGTATGTGTTTGTGTTCTCTGTCCCCCACAGCTGATGTCAGACTTTGCTGTATCAGTGGCAGGCTGAGTAACCTGAGCATAAAGCCAAAGTAAAACTCAGATGAATTGGTGATTATGGGGCAGGAGCCAAGCCAAGTTGGTATTCAGCAAAGATTTATGAGTGAAGGGAAAATAACCCCTGGACAAAAACTAAACATTGGAGCACTGCTTGTTGCTGAGCGATGTGTTCACAGCTCTCCTGGATGTTTAGTCCTCGTGATAACCTGTGAAGTTTAAGTGGTAGAATTCATTTTACAGACAAGGAAGCAGGGTTCAATGCCAGTGACTGGCCCAGGCTGCACTAAGCAAAAAGGCTGAGATGTAGCCTCTGTCACAGTAGTAACAGTTGATGGAATCAAATTGAACACTATCTCTCTGCCATAGTTGGCTATTCATACCATTTATTTGAAAATATCCTTAACTTCCCGATGCCCATTGCAAAGTGAAAGCTTATGAGCACATCCCCCCCCCACCCCATTTAAGATGTGGGAACTGCCCTTGTGAACCAACTTGGCCATTGTAAACCCAGAAAGTCCACCTTCAAGTCGAATCTTCTTTTCTTTCAGAAGTCCAGGCCTCATTATCATCTTCAGGTGCTTACGCCTCTTCCCTGTCTGCTTTGTTTTTATTTCGGAAGAGAAGAAACGTGGCTTCGAGATTGGCAGTTTAGAATCTGGACAGACGAATGTGTTGACGCTGCCCCCGGGAGTCCTCGTTCCCGCTCTACTCTGTCTGTTTCTCACAGCATCTCTAACTTAAATATTGCCTGTGGCTGGCTTCGAAGTCCAATTAAATGCTGGGAACAAAACCCTGGGGTGGGGCAGGATGAACAAGTATGATGATTTCCTCGCTGGTGAACTCAAGTCCCTTTCTGATCTCTGTGAGGAGTCGGGGGCAAATCCAAGGAACCGTGATTGGGTTTGGATTCAACTTCAGAGGCAGAGTTGTCACCACCCAGAGGAGTTCATGGGAATGCGTGTGCTGCGCACAGCTGCGATATTCTCCGTTCCCCCTTTGGTGTGTGGCACGGTGAAGCTCATCACGAGAGCCAGGGTGCGAGGGAGACATTTGGCAGTGCTGGTGTGACCAGGGAACAGGTGTTTGCGACATGACTTGAGTTGTGTTAGGAGCACAGAGCTTATCCAAAGTGCAGAATGCCCTTGGATATAGCTACCAGACCTGCTAATTTCCCACCCCTGTGGTGCCCAGACAGATCCTGTGAACACTGTCTGGGTAGGAAGGGAAAAATAAAAAGTGGTCTGGAGACTCCTGACTTGACGGACTCTGTCTCTGCTGCCACCTTCATCTGTCCGAATTCCAGCCTTCACCCATATGCCCTGCTCTGGCGGCCTCATCTTCCTCGGGTTGCATGTTGAGGATGTGATTTTGGGAGCTACACTGTCCTTGCCCTCTGCAGAGGATGGTTTAGAACGAGGATTCACTGTCAGGCTTGGTAGATGGTTTGACAACATTTTCCAGAGAATATGCATTTCTGATTAAGGGCTCACATTTTCCTGAGCAGGGCTGAGATCGTAGGATATAGATAACCCACTCGGGTTTTAGGTAATTTCTGCCACATCCTCATTGCCTTTCTTGTACTTTGCTCTCCTCTTCCTAAGTAGTCAAATGGTAGCTCTCTTCTTGCCCTCATCAGAAGAGAATTTACAATATGTACGGGACGTTCCTATATTAAGTGATGATACTCACTATAAAGAAGCCTTTAAAACCTAGTCTCTAAAAGTAGTTGTGTATTCTGACATAGGTAGGTGAATTTGTATCTTCTGTATTAAAATATTGTTTCAGATGAAAAATGTGTAGGGCTTGAGGAAGGCTCAGTCTGTGTTTGTCAGTCATCTACCTAGTGAGTGAATTCAGTTACATTTCCCCCCTAAAGTTGTAATTAACAAGTGGTTACTTTTCTCAATAATGTCATTTAAGTGCTAAAGAGAAACTCTGTTCGGTACATGTAAGTGACATCCCTCTGGTGTGAGTTTAGGCTGAGGATTGAGTGAAGGAGCAAATACAAACAGTTCTTTGACCATCATTTACTTTTCTTCACAGGTGACCACTATAGTAGACCTTTTGTAATTAAAATAGATTCAGGTAGAAATTAGGATAGAAAGAGATATGGGAAATCTTCATACTCTTCACCCAAAAAGCTCCTTCTTTAGTCACCTTGGTTTCTAACTTCTCAACAAATTGCCCTTCACTTAAGTGAAATCTCATTGGCTCAAAATGTCTGCAGACTTTTTGATAGCCAAGAAAATGACTATATATAATAAGCTTATACCTGGAAATGATTTATTTATTAGTTTTCATAAAAGTGTAAGAAAGTGAGGGCTTCTGCTTCCTATCAAGAGACTTAGCTGCCAGCAGCACAAGTCATGCCCTAGTCTTTGGCATGTGAAGATGATTTTCCAGCAGCTACATTTATGAAGTAATGGAATGTCGGTGCTTGTGGAAAGTGCCTCTGGCATCCTGGGACCCCCAGGATGCCTTTGGAGACCACTGTGCTATAGAAGAAGCTGTGGTAACAATGACTCTCCTCGTCAGCTAGAGCTGTAGGCGTATAGCCCTTAGACCTTTCTAAATCAGACACTTCCTTGAGTTCTTCCTTGGAGTGGGAGACAGTGCCATTCAGTCCCTTGCCAGCATTCTTCTCCTGGTCATTCACCAGGCTGAGGGAGTGTTGACTCTCTCGTTCCATTCCAGAGGAAGCCAGTGCTTTGGAAAATTAGTGTTTAATTTCCAGGTTCAGAGGTTACTTATTTTTTAATAAGCCCATTTGACCAATAAGGGAAATCATTGATGACTACAATTAATTAATTCTGCCTTTAGTTTCTTGGTGTCTGTAACTGGAATAACATTAGCCCGATGTGGGGGCCCTCAGACCATCGGAGGTTATTGGATGAAGTACAAGGATCCAGTGAACTCTGACATTCGGGGCACGTGCACCGTCATTGCTGCTTTGTTTGTGTGAGCGTGATCCTGGGACCCTGCCCCAGGACTGCTTGGGGGGTCTGCTGAGTGCCAGTCAGCGCTGTTCCTTTGGCTGACCCGACTCAGTGATGCTGATCGTAATGGGATCATCGGGATGGCCCTCTGCTGTTCTGTCTTTAATAACATATATTCTTGGGCTTAGTGATTGCTAGCTTCTTTCCTCATCTTCTGAAAATTACCTGCTAGGTGGTTGCAGGTCATTCTTCCTATTAAAAATAGGTACTTAGAAAAGTCCACCAATATTAGGCAGTCTGGTATGGGAAGAAAGTATAAAGACAGCCTTTCTGTCATGGCAACTTAGCTTTTCTCACTGCCTCAGCAGCTTTATACTACAGGAACCCTGTAGTACTTGGCCTTCCTTCTGCTCATAAAAGTTGGATGGGTTCTTCTACCATTGAGCCCATGTGTCTGCTGCAAATCTCTTCTTCTGCCCCCCCCCCAGGCTGTGTGGCTTTTCTTCTCCCCAGATCCTTGGGGCTCTGCTCTGTGATGGTCTCTGCCCGCTGGCTGTGGCTCAGGTCATCATCTGTCTTCACCATCTTCTCCTTTCCAAATACCATACATAGGTGTTGGAGGGAAGCAGACTCTTGGGTCCTTCCCCAGGGGTAGGGCTAAGTCTTTTGGTATTAAACCATCTGAGTGGCCTGAAAGGAATGGTCATACCTGGAGGAGGTGCCACCCAGTATCAAGTAAACCATTACCTTCAGGAAATTTGGATCCAGGTAAGTAACTGCTACATTTCTCTCCATAGTATCTTTATGGTGAGGATAATTTTAGAATATCAGACTTTTGGAATGAACCAATTTCCAAATGCTTTCTCTACAAAAGTTGTTTTGTAAACATACCAATATAAAGATATATTTAGAAGACATGTGACAGGGACTGCAGACCAGACCTCTGGGTTTATAGCAGGTGCAGGACGGTGTGTCTTCACTGCCTCTGTAGCAGCTTGGTGTCTCCGGGAACATTGTAAGAGTTCAGCATACGTCCATTGCTGCTGTTAATCATTACTAGTGTTACCTAGAGTGTAATGGGACAGGTTAGTGCGGAGATCTCTCAGATGGGATGAAACCTATTTTAAAAGTCTTTTTTTTAGTTGTAGAGATTTACTTTAAGGCAAAAATGTATTACCTCTCATTAAAATGATCAGTGAATTCTTTCTGTAGCTTAACCTTAAACAGAGCAGTGTAACTTTAGTAGTTGCTTTTAGTCCTAGAGGTCAGTAGGGACGTTTCTTACTAACTTGTGAGGGCACTGTGAACTGCTTTACCTACCCAGGGCCCACTCCAGGAGACTGGGCAGTTAGGAACTAGAACAGGAGGATTACTGATACAGCATTTCTTTAGACTGTTGCTCAAGTTCTGATTATGTAAATTGGTGTGTGTGTGTAAATTCTTACTTTTTTCTTCATTTTGTTTTTAAATGTCCTATGAGGAGCTCCCCTACTTGAGTTGTAAGAACGATGTGCACACTCTTCATGATACTTGACATGGGTTTTCCTTTTCTTAATTACACTGCATGACCCTTAAATAGTTCTTCCTTTTCCCAGTCAAGAGTGCCTTCTAAATATTTATACAGAATTGTGTTTATTCTCTTGCAGTTGAGCTGGCAATGATCATGGACCGTTTGTATGGTGGCGTCTGCTATGCTGGCATTGATACAGACCCAGAGCTGAAGTACCCGAAAGGTGCCGGCCGAGTGGCGTTCTCCAATCAGCAGAGTTACATTGCAGCCATCAGTGCTCGCTTTGTGCAGCTCCAGCACAATGACATTGACAAACGGGTAAGCAGTTGCTCAGGGCATGATTGCTGTGGGAAAGAAATGATGTTCATTCTCTGGGCTCCTGGGAAGAAAAGCACCTTGTGTTCGTAAGTGAGCAGCTCTGCCTTATACGGCATTAGTCCACAAGTCCACCTGGGCTGCCTGAAAAAGAGAACACCCTCGGTATTTAAGGTGTTAATGAACCTCTGCCTCGCTCATCCCCAGGGTGATGTGACACTTATGAAAATAACCTGGCCAAATTTAGCATACCGAGCCGGTGCTGTTCAGATGATGCCAACAGTGCATTTACAGAGGTGGAGAGCTGGTGACCTATTTGACCCATGTGGTGCTCTTAAAACAAACAAATCCGGCCCTGGCTGTATAGCTCAGTTAGTTGGAGTGTTGTCTCGATATGCCAGGGTCGTGGGTTTGATTCTCTGTCAGGGCACATACAAGAATCAACCAATGAATGCATGAATAAGTGGAATGACAAATTGATGTCTCTCTCTCTCTCTCTCTCTCTCTCCCCCACACACCTTCTCTTTCTCTAAAAATCAATTTTTAAAAAATATTTAAAGCAAACTTAAAATTTAATGTTAATGTTCAAGATTATACATAAAATGTTTAAGTTCTGGTTTCTCTTAAACTTGCAAGATCACACATGGTAGCAGTCATTGGAACCAAGTAGCTTTTGTTCCCTCCAGTCCCCATCCAACTAACTCCCTGTAGTGCTGCTGCTCACACCATATACGCGTGTGCCTGCCTCTCTTCCCATTGACGTTACCTGCCTGGCCACTGGAGGCATCCAGATTTCTACTTATGAGCTAAAGAGGGAACATGAGGTTGATGTGTAGGGAGTTGCTGTGCTCAGTTGGTTTTGCAGACAGGCACAGGTTTAAATTCCTTAAATCCCAGCTGTGGCACTTGGGGGAATGGAAGGTAGGAGGTGTTAATCTGGGATCCGTGTTAATACAGTTAAAGAGCAAGTAGGAGAAGAGCATCGAGTCTGGAACACCTGCCTGCGCAGTTGTGTGGTGGCTGTTGATGCTTCCAGCAAAGGGTATTCTTGGGGGATATACTGGACTGGATAAATAAATATGGTTGGTAAATATGGTGGTAAATAGGTTTTTAAATGAAATTTCACCTATACTCTCTTTGGTTAATTTTGACTAATTTTCTGTAACAGACTTAAGTTTCTTAAGGGATGAAAATTTCAACTGGTGATGGATTTTATGTTCAGCAAGATTATACTTTCATTAGGACATATATCTATCTAATCAAACATAAAAGCCAGTGCTTTAAAAAACAACCCTGTTTGTTACATCACTGGGCTCCTTAAAGTAAGTAGTGGTGTTTTTTTTTTTTTACTCCAGATGAATAAAATAATTCTGTTTCAGAATTTTGAAACACTTTCCGGAGACTCGGAGGGGTGGTAAAGATTTGGCTCCATTCGTAGTTTTCAAGCACACACGGCATCCCGAGCTTCCCCCCTCGCACCAGGAGTCTTTCTACAGGCCGCAAGCTCCCGCAGACGGGCGTGGTGTCTGCCTCATCCTCTCTTCATTCCCAGTGCACCCCGGTTGCTCAGTGTATAGATGCAGGAAAAAGTGCTTGATAAACCTTTGTTAAACTGACAGACGGTGCCGCATGAAGGGTTCTCCTGACTGTTACTGCCATAGCTGGTGGATGTTTGTACCTGCATGCTGCTGAGTCTGAAACCCCAGACTCCACTGCATTTCGATGCTCTTGCAGCTGTTGCAGTAAACTCAACCCGAAGAGCCTTAGGCTCTCCTCGGTGTGGAAGCAGCTTTCTGTTCCCCTCTGAAACCAGAACTAGTGACTGTAGAGGAGGCAGGCCCCAGAGATGATGAATGAACTTCCAGTTCCTCGTGCTTCTGTCTTCCCCCTGCTCCTGGCGAATTCCTTAGCAGAGGGAAGCACACTTGCCCCAGGGACTGTGGTAATCGTTGAGCCTCTTCAGTAGTCACTTTCAATTCGGATACACTCTGTTCTGTTGCCTACCCTCTGCTCATCCTTGCTGCGCTCAGGCCCTCAGTATTTCTTCCCACAAGACTTAAGGTAAGAAAGAGACGAGTGGCTTTGTTTTGTTAGCATGACCATAGGCCGTGCAGTGAAATGTGTTCGGAATGTTAAACTTCTCAGGAAAGCCTTTGCCTTTTCTACCCACTGCATTTGTGCTGAGCACACCTTCCATATCTTCCTTGGTAATCATTTAGGATAGCAACCAGTGACAGTGGTAAGAGTATGGAGCTTGGAGCTAGAGCTCATTCCGATAGTTTTAAGCCTCTACTGTACCAGTCCCTGGTGACCCCAAGCAAGTTGTGCAGTGCCGGCAGCCTCGGGTCTTCTTGGGGACGGTCTGGAGATTAGGTGGGATGTGCGGGTAGAACAGCCAGAGCTATATGGCAGGTAGATGCTTAACTAGCACTTGCTGGTTAACAGTATTCATCTCGCACTTAACACTGATGTCATTAACATTACACAGCTTGAATGTTGTTGGTTGCTCTGCTAGCGATGCAGTGAAAAGGTGCACTGGTTAGTGCAAAGAGCACTGGGTCGGAGTCGGGGTGCTGGGTCTGGAGCTGGTTTTGTTCCCCAGGGGCTGTGTGACTTGGAACAGGGCACTTAAATTCTGAGCTTCAGTGTATAATGAGGGCAGTTGCAATAGCCTTGTGCATCTCACAAGATTGTTGAGAATCCCAGGAGAGAGATTAAACAAGAAAGCAGTGTGTGTGTGTGTGTGTGTGTGTGTGTGTGTGTAAAAAGCACAGTGTACAGATGTGTAGTAGAACTGTGGTTGTCACAAGAACGCCACCTCCATCCACCTGGAGTCAAAACAGGACTTGCCCGTTCCTTCAGCGCCCTTGGATGAGTCATCTACGTGGGGGAGTAGGAGTCACTGGGGGTGGGGGTCCCTGCTGCCCCCTTTACCTGCATGCTGTTCTCGTGCACTGACCAACGTGGAAACTGCTCGATGATGGGAGGAGAAAGCCTACTTCCGTCCTGAGTTGGACTCCTGTTTCACAACTGGTCTTCTGTGAGCATTCTACCTCCCCGCACCCTGTTGTTCTGTCCTCTTCTTAACTTCGGTTTGCCTTGGACACAGCCAGCATGGGCCTGTTTTGTTGTCTCTAGCATTGTAAGCCTTTGCTAACTGTACCCTTTCTAGATGTTTTTTAAGGTTCATTCCCAGTTTTATTTTTATTTATCTTTTTCCTAAAGCTTCAATTTGAGCTTGGCAGAGATCTCCCATTATATATAGCGTAGAACAAAAGTAGTTTTACAGTTGTAATACAAAAAAAATAATACAATAGTAGATAATAACACATGAATAAACTGTGTTTTGCATGCTTACAACAGTCCGTCTACGTTTGCCCCACCCTATAAGCATGGCAGTATTTCCTTAGGTGATGGCCTCTTCCTTAGGGGCCCTTTTGGTGATTGTCTGTAGTGAATTTCTTCTTTTCCAATAACCCCTCCAGGTTTGTAGCAGTAATTCCGTAGCTAAAGTTTGGAAACTTGCCATCCTCGGAGGTGGGGCACGGAGTCACAGTCTCATTCCCTTGCTATTGCGGATTCCAGGATGCTCCAATCTCTTTCTCTTTCCTTCCGATGTTATCTAGAGTTGCCTTTTAAACCAAGACCTTGGCTATTTTAAATAGCATTAGCTTTTATTACCTTTCTGGTCAGAGGAGCCTCCTTTGCTTTCTGCATCATTATAAATCAGATTCAGTGATTTAAAAAAAAAACTGCAGATGGAATTTTGAAGGTCACTTCCTTCCTGTTTGCAACCCTTACCCCGTTCACTGTTTGCTCCATATGGAAAGTTGCAGAGGGCAACCTGTTTGCAAACATATTTTCATAGTTGCACAGTCAGTCTTAGAACATAGGAAGGGGTGTTTTAGTGGACAGGCTTCCAGTGTGCAGTGAGAGGATCCACTGAACGATAACCCTGGTGGAAAGGACACTGCATTTCTCCTGTGCAGTTTTACTCAGCTCACTGTAGGGAGGGGATCCTACTCATTTAACATGTGCTCTTCCTAGTTATAAGAACAAGGTTGCCTGGGCCACTAGGGCAAACTTCTGACTCCTGCTATAGCTATAATTAGGGTCCCCCAGGATCTGGGACTTGTCAGGGTGGGCCGACAGATGCACACTTCAGCACACTGTTCGCCACGGTGTGTCTAGCAGTGGAAGGACTGCCAGAGGTCGGAGGGGCTTCTAATAGCAGTTCCTTGCCGTGGCAGAGCTGCCATGATGTTGACGCTGCCACCCATGCCCAGAGGCCTGAAGGGGAGCGCTTTGGACATGGGTGGCACACAACAAATGTATAGGACGCATTTGGGTGATAAATGGGAGAAAAAGGACTGGACGCAACCTCGGGGGTTCATCGAGAGGGCTGGAGTGCGTCACTCATCTCTCACCTGGACACCTGGGATAGCTTTCTCATCGTCTCCTCGGTTCCTCGGTAGCCCATCTCCAATTCGTCCTTTACATAAAGATACCAGAGGATCTTGTAAAATCATGTGTGAGTCATGTATTCCCTCCTTTGGACCTTTTCATTATGTTCTACTGCCCTCCGGATAACGGTCGAGTTTCTCACCATTGCCTGCAGGACCTGCACGGACTGCTTCTTCTGCCTTAGCTCTTTCTTCCTCCTCTTGAGCCGGTTACAACTGGCCCTTTTCTCTGATTTTCAGGACTGTTATATATACTCTTTTCTCTGCTTGCCCAATAACCCTCTTTTCCTTAAGTACTAGTGTTCTCAGGGATCCGTTCGTCACTGGCACTTCTCTCTCCCCATGCATCACTGTCATAATGCCATCCACTGTTCCTGTGTGGCTTCAGTAGCACAAAGTTACAAGGCATGGTGGATGGTTAGGCTGGTTTCTTGTTATTATGAGACGATAACATTAAATGAAGTAAATCTGCAATTAATTAATGCTTTAATGTCCATCCACTCTGTTAGACTATATAATCCATGAGGCCAGTGACTGTAT